AAGATCTCCAAAATCTTGAATAAACACAAGATCCAGGTCCGATTCAACACATTACATAAAATCCGTGATCTGGTTCCGTCTGTAAAAGATTCCGGACATACAGTACCCTGGCGTCTACAAACTAAGTTGCCTCTGTGGTAGTAGTTACATTGGAGAAACCAAACGACATGTCTCGGACCGCATTCGTGAACACAAAGCAGACCTTGAACACGGTAGGACCAACACCTCGGCCGTGGCAGATCATTGTTATAATTCAGTAGGCTCACATGACATTGACTTCTCCAAGACAGAGGTTCTTTGCAAGCCATCTGGCTACCATGAGAGATTCGTTCATGAGGCTATCCACATATACAAACACAGAGACAATTTCAACCGAGAAGATGGATTCTGGCTTAGCAATCATTGGAAGGATTTGATAAACCATTTCGGGTCTTAATTGATTGTTCACGCTTACGGTGGCTTTCAGACCACATCCATTATTTTCGTCTCCCCCCTCCTCTTTTCCAAACATAGATGGACTCATATTCTTAGCTCTTTCGGTAAAGTCACATTGAAGGGAAACAATAAAATAATAAATATATATAAAACAATAAAAATTATCACGACGTTTCGACCATAACACAAACGGTCATCATCAGGTGTTTCCCTTCAACGTGACTCTACCGAAAGAGCTAAGAATATGAATTACTGCAGTCACGAAAGCTTTAAATCATACATGGACTCGTCCATCTGAATAACTGTCAAATCGTAATAATAGGGTTTTTCCCCTTTTTTCTGGCAACAAAACTGAAACCTTTTTACAAGGATTCATGTCTGCATTAACCACAATACCTGCAGTCAAAATGCAAACAAAAAAACATACTATGATAATATATGCATTGTCCTTGAAAATGATTGGTCCACACCAAGGGACGGCTTTCTTTTGAGCCTCGACCCAATTGGTGCTCGACCAGATGACGCCAAAAGGCGTACAGCTCAAAGACAATGCACTATCAAAGTAATGAGGGCTCGGCGGAGTATCTACATCATTAGACCTATATAATAATAATAATAGGATTTTCCCCTTTTTTCTGGCAACAAAACTGCATTTTGACTGCAGGTATTGTGGTTAATGCAGACATGAATCCTCGTAAAAAGGTTTCAGTTTTGTTGCCAGAAAAAAGGGTAAAAACCCTATTATTACATTTTGGTACTGGCAAAGGAGGTCTAATGATGTAACTGTCAAATCGCTCTCCGTGGTGCTAACGTTAAAAAAACCGCCACTTTTTTCAAATTTTCTTGCTGTGGTTTTCATATCTGATGATGATTGCTTGTGTTGCAGTTGAAACGTCGTAAGAATTTTATTGTTTTATATTTTTATTATTTTATTGTTTCCCTTCTACGTGACTTTACCGAAAGAACCAAGAATATTTATTTGTTTGTGTATTGTTTACAGCAGCAGCTGGACGGATGCCTTCCCCCCTACTAAATGTCTTTTAAAAACACATTGCTGGAGTCCACATCTGTCCTAGACTTGTGCCTTTGTAAAGCTATAAAGCTGTCGTGAGATTAATGAATCAAATGAGATGCTTTGTAAAAAAGAAGCTAGATCACGACATATTTCTGAGTAAACAATTATTTTCTTTAATACGAAGCAGTTGTAATGTTGTGGTAACGTCCACATCAGAAGCTTTTTTCTGCTTAGGCTAGCACCTAGCACTGCCTTGCGCTCGCACCAATGGGACTGAAACATTCTCTAGTCTGGTAAGTCGTCGGCAAAAATATAATCTCAAATGCATTCAATGTTCAAAGTAGATTGAAAGTTCAAGGCAGCTAACAGCTAACAGCTGCAAGTGCCCTTGTGTATGTCTTATAAATATCTGTATGAAAAGCATTTTGGTGTTTCTTGATTTTCATGGAAGCAATAGATTTTCCAAAATTGTGATAATGGCATATTTTCCCACTTGCAATGTATACACCCTGCATTTACACAATGCATAACTACAGCCGGTGTCTCTATCTGTTTGTTTACCCTATTTCACATGTTCAGTGTGAATAAAAATACGAAACCACATTCCCACATTTGCCTCTGTGATATTTTAAACGTATATTATGATTATCAGACACACAGAGAGGTTAAATTGCTCATTATTATTTTTTTGCAATGCAAAATTTCACACAATTTAAACTGCTGCCTGCCAGATGTTATAGGGACAGAATGATCTTTTCGTAAGTAGATTTCTCTGCTGTAATTGCCACCCAAGAGACTTTGATGGTTCCACAGCTATTCTACCCTCTGTATTAGCACCTGTGCACAAAACAAACAAGACACCTTAGAAGATACCAAGTAAGATTTCAGATACCAAAATGGCACAATGTTCCCATTTCATCAAAACAATACAATGCGACTTTAACAAATCATATCCCACTTCACAAATCTCAAAAACTGTGTAGTTATTTAGAATGGACGATGCATTTTTCGAAGGCCTGCCATGGTGATGATATTGTTTGTTTTGGATTTTATTTGCCTGAAGAGAGCCTGTGGCCCCTGCAGGCATGCCTTGGATCAGCCCGTTTCAAAGCTTCGCAAAAGCCTCATCCTCCAGGGGATATTCGAGCAGTTCATCCAGATTGCTTGGCTCAGAGAAATACGACCATGCTGGCTTCGGCCCAGGGGAAAATATGACGGTGATCTGTGTGGATTCTAAACGCTAAACATGAAGAAAGTGTTGCAGCAATTATCGGCAATGCAGCGCAACTGCACAGCTGGTTTGGTCGGAATGTGTTATTCCATTGCCCAAGTATGTAGGATAAATTTGTGGTCTTTAACTCAAGGAAGATTTTATTAGGTCTGTGGTAGCTTAATACTCATTGGCTGAATATTGTGCTACACCCTATGTAAAGGCAAAGCTGAGTTCTTGTCCGTTGCATCGTCGTAAACTCTGTATGCCGACAGCATCACAAGGTAGCTGAGCACCCCGCTGGAATTCTTCCAGTGACCGTGATATGAGCCATAACCGATTGTTTGGAGCCTGATGGGAAAGTTTTGGAAGGGTGCTCGTGGAAAGCTCCAGGATTGCAGCGATACTTTGATTTCTCGAATGTTGGTTTTCTGTAAAGACCACACGCCGGTCCATGTTCAAATGCTGAAGTTCGGCCAAGTCGACTGCGCGTGGAATTTGCCACATTAATTTGATTGGCCACACTCCACTTAAACATTTTTTTGTTAGCTTATGTGGGGGATGAGCGGTTGGATATGAATTTCAGAGACGCATTCCATTTTCAGAACCGTGAAAGAAGTTGACACCGTTCAATGTGTTGAACGTATAAAACTTACATCAAAGTGCGCCTCGATGTCCGGAAAGAAAATAGGACTAACAGTTGGTGTAACTGTTTTTCCAAAGAATTTAAAACAATAAAAAAAACTGGAATAATAATAATTACAGAGCCATAGTTCCCAACACACTGATTAAGTGGTCCCATAGCACTTCAGTCAGGTAGCTCAATACCGCACAGACCTTCACCTTTACAGAAGGGTGTGAAGGAATGGAGGAGGCAGGCAAATGGAACAGCTGTGACATTTCTCTTGATGTATTTGGCTAGTGATGTTTGCGATCAAGTCGTGTGGCCGAGCCACACATTTTGTAGGTTTCTTTGCAAGCAAAAATTGATATTGAGTAGCTGGGCAGCCAAGTGGTGAGAGCACAAGCCGCAAAGCCATTGCAGCGCAGAGTCATCGGTTTAAATCCTGCAGTAATGGTTAGAGGTGTGAAAAGGTTTTTGCCATCGGCTGTAAGGTACAGAGGTGTTAAAAGTCATCTGATATTACTCACAAAAGTAAGCCAGTGTTTGCCGTCATTACAATAAAGTATAATTATTTTAAAATACCCCAAAGTAAAAAAAAATCTAAATCTAAAACATGTCCCTTCCATATAAAATTACCAAACATTTCCTTCAAAAGCAGATGTTATATTGCTTCATATTTGACATTTGTAAAATAAATGTTATTGAACTTAAATAATGTTGCTGTTTCTATTTTACAATGTGTAAAGTAATTTTTTTGTAAACCTTGAATATTAGGTGTGAATGATCATCCAATGTATTGAATATGTATTAGGCAAATAATTCAAAGATATGTGCATATATACTAATAATCTGCACATAGAGCATATTTGTCACAGTCGTGCGCAGGTGCTCGATTGATTTTTGCATTACCGGAGCGTCAAGAGATAGCGATGACTTGGGGAGGTCTCCATCCAACAGTAGCTTGATCATGGCTGATGATGACAGCAGATTTGTGTATATGTATGCATGTGTTTTTATTCGTGTAGTGGTTAGTGTGCTGCACTATGAACCCGACCACCTGGGTTCGATTCCCGCTCACGGCCACCACCAGTGAAGATTATTTGAACTGTAGTAATAGGTTTTACCCTTTGATTTAAAGCTTTCGTGACTGCAGTAATTCATATTCTTAGCTTTTTCGGTAAAGTCACGTTGAAGAGAAACAACAAAATAACAAAAATATATATAAAACAAGAATATAGGTTTTACCCTTTTAACTGGCACAAAAACTGACAAATTTATTCAAGGCATCATGTTTGCAATAACCACAACACAAGCAGTCAAAATGCAAACAAAAGAGACAATCAAATTCAAGGACAGTGCATATTATTATCAGAGTTGTCTCTTTTGTTTGCATTTTGACTGCTTGTGTTGTGGTTATTGCAAACATGATGCCTTGCATAAAGGTTTTTGTGCCAGTTAAAAGGGTAAAACCTATTACTATATCTTGTTACTGGCAAAGGAGGTCTCATAATTATTTGAACTGGTCCTGGGCCTCCCCTAGGTCGACTAAGCCCCAAATGAGTACCTGGTGCAGTGTGTGAACAATGCTGCTCGGGAGACAAAGGCAGGCGGGCGTGGTGCTGGCCACCCACCCCCACGTGTGCTGTGCCGGGCTAACAGAACTTGCCCCAACAGTCTATTAAGGCTAAGCAGGGGACCTTTGTCTTTGTTTTTAGGAGACTGGCTGGCTGATCTGCAAAAACAAACTTCACACGCCAAGATGATGTCACACCTCTTCTCTGCTACCCATCAAGTCATATGAGACTCCACACTCGGTATGTCAATTTCGCAAGAAATGCTGCAGATTTTCACACGTGAGATCATCTCACATGTACTTCTGGAATACAGTACATTTTCTGTTCTTTGATACAGCTAGACTAGTAAATGTCTCAGTTATTGGAAACTGTTACCTGTACTACATTTACTGTAAATGTCTTCCCACTTCACCATCAAATACACATTTTGTGTTATTGGCTCATCTGTTTTGATTGCAGTTAATTTAGTCATAACTTTCACGTATATGCAATCAATTAATCAAGTAAACATCTACATTACCATGGAAAAATAAAGCCACCACCATTGGATATGAGCACCGCCGTCAGAGACACTTTTACTTTATCGACTATTACCCAATGATTGGAATGATGCCGTGGTGTAATGGTTAGCTCACTGGACATTTAATCCAGAGGTCACCGATTCGATCTCACAGTGGGGCAGTTGAAACAATGGAGAGGTTTCTTAAATCCCTCCACCTCTGTTCACCCAGCAGTACAAAATGGGTGCACCAGTTAGCCATTCGCCAGGTCGCGCGTCTTTAGATTATTAAAATTATTTGGCTACCATACTTTTCCACATAATGAGCCACTTCGTTGAGCTATCATTTATGGCCAGGTCGCTTTGGGAAAAGAAGCTAATAGCTCGGTGGGTCTTACCTGGTGAAATGAAAGTTTAGTTTTATTGATATATTAATGCGAGTGATTTGTTTATCTTTCCTATAATTTGCACTCCTATCGTCTTTTTGTATTTTTGTTGTAACGTTTCTGACCCACCCCTACTTGACATCTGTGAAAAAGAGCGTTATAGCTCATCAGATTCCTCCAGTATAAATAAATATTTTGATTATGATTTCAAAGACATTCTGGCCAACTTAGAAGAGTGGGCCGAGAATACGCTGCAGAGGGGCTCTCTAGAGGGTCTCTTTAGAGCCCCTATAGTGGAGTCCCTTCCGCCAGCAGTGGCTTGACCAAAGGACATTTGAGAGCCGCACCTTTAACCTATTACTTTAACCATTAATTATCATCAGTTTTTGTTCTGCACTTTTAGTGGAAGTGTAGATAGCTGGAAAACTCCCAAAAGCTAAATAGACATCCCGTAATATACGTATGTATACTCTATAAAATTACTTAGACATCCAATATGAAATGTAAGCGATGCATAATCATAATAGCCATTCAATAATAATCTTTTGTATCCGGCCTGCTCTGATTATTCCTGGCTGTTGAAATGCCGCCTCGGATGGAGACAGTACTTGAGTTTGATGAGAGTTAGCATTGAGTATATGTTTTTGTATACACTTTTATGACAATATTCATAATATTTCTCACAACATATACATGTACATTTGGTACATTAGAATATTGGTCGGCTAACACAAGCTTGCTAGTGGAAAAATAGGTTGGAGGAGTTTTATATTTAATGTAATGCAGCAGTAATAATGTAAAACGTGATGTTTATGTAACACTCATTGTTTTTCATGCAGCTTGAATATGTATTGCTCTGTTGAGCATTTTGGAATGGTTATACAGTCACGAAGGAATACGTTTCAAGGCAAAAGGCTGCAATTGAATGCATCTTTGTTCACGATTTTAACGTACATATTATTTATGAGCATTGACCAATACTGCGTTTTGTTAAAGTGTTAAAGGCAGAACTATTTATTATCTGAGCACATTGGGTAACCTTCACACTCCACACCTTTTCCACGTGTACGCAATAAAACAAATTTTGTTTGAAATAATTGATTTGGCACTGGAGTGTAATGCAGGCACATATATATATATAATGACCATGTTTTACCACATTTTATAACGGCATCGTGTACGATACAAAGCGCCCATGTGTAACTCGAAAGAACGTCCCACGGAAGAAGGTATCGGATAACTACTTCTAAGTTCCCGTTTAAAAATCCACAAACTTGGGGCACACTTTCCCATATGCCCTACTACAGTGAAAAATATTCATTGCATAGCAGTCAAATGGTTAATCCCTTGGTCATCAAATCAGTATTGTTTTACTTAGAGCTGGGATTTAGTCAATTCACGTGAAAACCAAATTTAATTCGATGGGTTTTTTTTTCCCTCGTGCAGTCATTGATGAGTTATTGGTGACTGGGCTCAGACCTTCCATAATTAAATTGAAACCCCAGTTTAATCATGGGCAGCAAACACCTCGATTTGAATCCAGCATTTCAACGGTGCAAGATAAGAGCCCTGACCCCTGAGCAACCAGACCACGTTTGCGCTGATTTGTTATTGAAATTTAAACCCCCCCAAAAAACTGGTTGTTGTTAAACATTTGGCAAGAAAAATAGACCATGTGGTGTTCAGGTGTTGCGTTTTCATGCTATGGAATGTGTGAAAAGACAACTGAAACGTATGGTTTTGTTATTTTAGACCAATGAAGCATTGTTATGGTAAGGCATGCTTCCCCGCAGGACCTGTATTAATAGAGTGCTGTTCTAATGCGGTGCAATAGATCAATCATGCTGCAGTTTCATGTGAGCGGCATGTGTGCAGCTTGGATGTTCATTTAAATATTGGCAAGGGTGTGCATATTAGTCCTAAATATTCCACTAATATCTTTGAACATAATACATATAAAGCAATTGTGTCTGCCATTTTTAACCAAAGTTTGAGTTAAAAACAAGGCCTCTTGCCAAAATCCAACTGTATCAGGATAATGTTGCGAAAACAATATGCTATTGTAGCTCTGTTGATCCGTTGAACATCATTTCATTACTTTATTCTTTACCATCACTTGCAAACCAAGGCAATGTCCATTCAATGTCAATGCGGTGACCTCCGCTGAGCTGCCTATGGATTTTGTGCGTACAATTTATTTTAATTGTGATAATTAAAAATAACACAGGGTAGCGAGCTGGACTTCAACGTTGGAGATAGAGGGCCCTTTTGAGGGAGTCGCCTTCCAGCAACAGAGGAGTGATGCTCACAACAACGAGCGGAGCACCGGCCGGTTAAAACACAGCACTGGCAGATGCACAGGTGGTGCATCTGCCAGTCATCTCAGTCAGTCAACCCATGGCACCTGGGTCTGTCCCGTGACCTCCTGCCATCGGGCATTCGATAACTTCACGTGGCCTCAAGGTGCACCTAGCCTGGCACAAGTGCCGTGGTGATGTCACCGCCACTTAGTGGCGAATGGTGGTTGTTGTTGTTGTTTGAAGTTGAGTATGGGCAAAAGTGGCTCTGTGAATGGTATATTTATCATATCAGTGATATGAGGTCACAAGGACATCACAGAGCAACCATACATCTTTCGAACTTGCAAATAGCATCGGTATTGGCGATGTATTGGCGGCGACGCCTCTGTGGGGAACACTTAAAACCTCCGTTTCAATGTAACACAAATTAATTCGATTTGTTTTAATGTTTACTTTATTTTTTTAGAAGGTTCAGTGTAATATTTATTAATTGTTCTCCCTCCACCACTCCCCCCCCCACCCTTGGCGCTCAAGCAACAACCCCTTGCCAAGATGCCCTGCTACCCATGGCTCTCCGAGCTGCGCTGTCTGGCCGAGATGACGGTGTAGGGTGTTGTGGGATGGTGTGGGGTGGGGTGGGCTGGGGTGTTGCGGGGGCGAAGGGAACGTGTGTCAGCTCTCGTGCCGATTGCACAGGGACACAGTACGAGGGAGGTGAGATCAGCCAGTCCTCCTGCCCTACAGATACCTCCTTCCTCCCACCTCATTGTCAAGGTTAGCGGGGGAGTCTGTTGGAAGCAATAGGGCAGCCTGTGAGTGGCATTCCCACTGTGAAATAGCACTGGTGGTGTCTCGTACGTGCAAAATTGTGGGCCACTTGGGAGCTTAACTGTGCATGAAAGAGACCGCAACGTACTCCTGTACACGTTGTGTCCCGTAATGTACAGCTTAACGTTTGCTTAAATAAATATACATTTATACACTTGCAGTGAGAACACAGTGCGTATTAGTTCGTTATGCTTGAACACATACGTATTTGATTTTCCAGCTGCTGCAACGTGAAACAAAATGAATCACGCAATTTCTTGTATTTCAGTTGCCGAAGGAAAAAAAAACCATTCACTGTAGCAGCTGGCACCCACATTCGCTAAGTAAATGCAATACAATTGCGTGCCTTAATAAATGTGCCTATTTACTTTATGGAAATTCTGCCCGTGTGAAATATGTTATAATATCTCCAAATAGTAATATTTGGAGATATTATAACACGAAAACACACTGTTCTCCCTCTTTTACATATGCATTGGTGACGAGTTGGATAGATTCTCACGGAATGTTCTGAACACGAATACCAATGAATGCGTTTTTTCTCCATCTTTGTTGGTCAACTTTTATTGACCTCCTTACAGGACCATTTTCGTGGATACTGTAGATATAGATGCTGTTGATACATGCCATGTAATTTAATAACATGATTAACACATTTCAATGACGCTGCAATTAAGTATAATTAATGGTAGTACTGCTACTTGAATGGCATATGAATGTCTTTGCTTTTTTCCATTCAAGGAAATGTAAGCACTGTGCTGTTTGTGAGAGCCTGGTTCGTTGGGATTATAATTTAAAATGCATTATTATGTTTTATCGTAACATAGCACACCTATTTGACATGAAGAATTGCGTCTTTCTTACGAGCAGAACACATCTTCACACTGGTTGATTGTGAACAAAATACATTGATGGCTGATAGTGAAAAATAATTCTTCGAATAATGGGTATTTAATGTCGATCCATGCACCGTAAACATTCATGCGATGCCATGGGATATTTTTTAACAAATATTTTGTGTTCTGACTCACTTCAGTGCCATTCAACAGTTCGAGGTGTGTGTTATTTCAAAAGAACGATGGTAATAAAAATCACTGGTATTCTTATAAATCCATGTGAAGAATACTGTAGGTATAAACAAGGGAGCACAAAGGGCATTGCGTGGAGAAAGGGGTTTATTATTCCCAGATAAATTATTGAAGCAAAAACATTTGTTTATACAGTTCA